GCCCTCGCGCGCGCCGCTCGGGCTGAGCGCGTCCGCGCCGGCGGCCGTTGCGGCTGGCAGCAAGCGGCCGCACTCTGAGATCTCTTCAGAGGCAGATGACCGACAGCGGCGGCCGTCGGGCGGCGGCGAGAGGGGGCTCGGGCGCGGCGGGGCGGAGGTCGGCCGTGGATGGGAGCCGCACAGGGATGGCAAGCAGGCGGAGCGAGGGCCAGGGGTTCAAGACAGGGGCCGGCTGCCTGCCGGCGGCGGGAGCGGCGCGCCGCAGGCGCGAAGCGGCCCGGGCTCCGGGAAGGCCCCTTGGCAAACGCCGCAGCCCGCGCAGCCGCCGTGGGCGCAGGGGGCCTCGCAGGCGCAGGCGCAGGCGCGCGGCGGGGCGGGCCGAGGCGGCGCCGCGGACGGGGCTGCGGCCGGGGTCGTGCTGCGGGGGCGCGTCATGCGGCCAGAGCTGCATGCGCCTGCCGGCGGTGATGTGGGGTCTGGCAACGCCGCTGCAGCCGCGGGCCACGCGCCGCAGGTGGCATCCGCCGCATATGCATATGCGCCGCCGCCGGCTGCGCCGTACAGCCATCGCGCGGCGCCCCCGCCGCCGGCGGCCGCGCCGACGGTCCTGCCAGCGGACGCTTCGGCAACCCCATACCAGCAGGCGCAGCAGCACCAGCAGCAGCAGCCGGCGGCAGCACCTTATGTGGCTGCATTGCAGCAGCACGGGGGAGCGGACGACCCTTACGCGGCGTACCAGCAGCAGCAATATGCACAGCAGCAGTATGCACAGCAGCAGCAGCAGCAGCAGCAGCAGCAGCAGCAGCAGCAGCAGCAGCAGCCAGCGGCAACCACCCAACAGCAGCAGCAATACGCCCAGCAGCAGGCGGCTCAGCAATACGCGTACCAGCAGCAGCAGCAGCAGCAGCCGCAGCAGCAGCAGTATGGCCAGCAGCCATACGGCCAGCAGCACCAGCCGTCGCAGCAGGCCGCAACGTCAGCAGCTGCATATCAGTACTACGAGCAGCAGCAGCAGCAGCAGCAGCAGCAGCAGCAGCAGCAGCAGCAGCAGCAGCAGCAGCAGCAGCAGCAACAGCAACAACACGACTACTCTCAACAACAATTCGAAGCACTGCAGGCCCAGCAGGGCCAGCGCGCGCCTCTGCATGTGCCGGGGGCGGCAGGCCCGCCCGCGACGGCTCAGCAGCCGCAGCCCCCGCCGCCGCCGGCCCGACAGCAGCAGCAGCAGCCGGCTGCTTATGACCCCCAAATGCAGGCGATGCTGCAGATGCAGGCACAGATGCAGTCCGCCCAGTACTACCAGCGGCCGTACTGAACATCCCAACCATGCGGGGGCGCTCGGCGCAGTGTGCAGCACCTGTCCGCCGCAGCCTTCGCGGGCCGCCGCCCCTCCCCTTGCCTTTCTGTCCCTTTTGTTCTGCCAATTGTAATGGCGCCAGCGGCACTTCTGTCCATAATGATCTTCAGGGGCGTTGGCTGCATGAAATGCTCACCCCCTCCCATGTGAGAGGGTGACGGTCGCTTCAACATGCTGCAAGGGTACCGCAAGCGCTGCGGCTTGCTGATCAGTACAAAGGGTGTTTACTACCCAAACGTGTTGAGGGAGCCCAAGCCGTCCAAAAATGACTGCAGAAAGTCCCTGCCCACGCTGCATTCCGCCAGCCCCGCCGCCGCCCCGGCCCCCGCCGCCCCGCCGCTGGGCGGCATGATGCGGCAGCTGGGACCCTCCCCGAGTGCCTGGGTGTGCCAGCAGAGGGGCAGGCCCGGGGAGACTCCCTGGATGGCCCGCAGCAGCTCTGATAGGGTCCGTGCCCTGTCCACTGGCAGCAAAGCGGGGTCCGGCGTGCCGCGCTCGCAGCCTGATGGGGCGGGCGGCATGGGGAAGAGGGGGGAGCGGCGCGTTGCTGACACGTGTGGCAGTTGGGGTCGGTTGAGCGTGACAAACGGCCTGAGCGCCACGAAGGGCGCGCTGCTGGAATGGCGATTGTGCTTGCCAATCCGCATGCCGCTGCCGGGCAAGGGCGGGCCCGCACCTATCACCCAGCCCCCAAGGTCGCTGGGGGCCGCGGCCTTGGTCACCAGCAGCTGCAGCGCCCGCGCCGGCACGCGGCCCTCGCGCAGCATAACGCCGCCGGCGCGCTCCGCTAGGTTCATGTAAGGGTTTGAGACGGCGACAGACATGCAGTCTTCTCGTATGAGCACTGCGCCGACGCGCTTGTATGGCTGCAGGCCCTTTGCAAAGGCGGCAGCGCTGGGCGCCCACGCCCATGCTGCTGCAGCGGCGGCGGCGGCCGCGGAGGCGGGCGGCGCCATTGGCGGCGGGTGCGGGAGATTGTGGTGGCGGGCTGGCTGGGGGTGTGGTGCGCGGCCTGTGCTTGTGCCAGAGGCGTGCCGGTGAGAGCGGCGCCAGCGGCCAACTTGAAAGCGCAGACTGTGCACAGCGGCAGGTCAGGTCACGACGAGCGCCAGGGGCGAACGATGGGAGCGATGCGTCCGAATTTTTGAGATTCAATTGATACGGCTTGCCTGGCTGAGCACACAGGACGACACGACCAGGAAAGCCAGCGGGCCACTTTTAACAACATGGTAACCAGCGGGCAGCACCCCGCACAGCCACACTAATCATATCGTGAGATATGCACGCTTGTTTCGAGATCTTCTTCATTCGGCCGTGAGGCACTTCGACCCGCTGGGCGGATCAGAACATCGTAGCACGTCCCCCCTTTGCAAAGGCCTGCATTCGACCAGTAATCGGCCTTCATAATCATAGGAGGGATGGAATATGGCGCGCTGGGCCATGCGGCGCCATACTCTCGGTGCCTCGGCGGGCAACCGGGGGTGCAGCAGCGGAGGCGCGCCGCGCGCGGCGCCCGGCTACAGTCGCTAGCCAGCCCCCAGCGCGGCCCATTCGCCAGCGGCCGTCTCCGGCCGGCCGGCCGCGCCGCCGCCGCCTCGCCCGCGCTGGCCACGCCACGTCGGAGGGCGGGCGCTTTGGTCAAGGCGCAGGCGCTGGTTGCTAGGGGCAAATCTTACGAGGCTGAGCACCTCTCGGTCAAAAAATCCCTTGGGGAGGGATCATATGGCCAAGTATTTGAGGTGAGTCACGCCCACCCCATTCAGACCGCCTCAAGCGCCGGCCCGAGGGCCCCCGCGATGCGGCCTAGACGCAGACGCGCCGCTTACTGCCCAGCCGCCGAGCCGGCCGCGCCCGCGCCTGCCGCCCAACCGCCGCGCGCCGGCGCCGCCCAATCGCCCAACCTTGCACCCCAGGGTCTGTTGGAGACAGGCACGATCACAGAGCGCGTCGTGCTGAAGCGCGTGAAGCAGCGCGTGCACGTGAGCCCGGCGGCAGGGGGCGTCTCGGGACGAATCATGCGGCGG